TAAGCCCAACGACAAATCAAGAACAGGACAGGGTATACTACGCGAGAAATCAGATCGATCGAGACACTCAAAACTGTGATGCTCAAACTTCCAATAATAATCTGGAATGCACAGTCCATTGTGACATCGATATTCATCTGATTCACATTCATTCATTTCCAAATCGAAACAATTTGACTCGTCAACACCATTGTTCACACAATCAATCCGACCATCACATATCTCACGCCAATCTAAACAAAGAAACAATCCACCACGATCACATTCCAATAAAACATAACATGTGGAATCCGTAAGAGTATAACTTGAATCAACATTGATCAATGGATATGTCTCAGGAATATCAAATGAATATTGACATCGAGGTCCAAACCATGAAGTTGTACAGTTGAAAAAGATTTCATTGGATAATTGAGATTTATCCTTTTCAGCAAGATAATGTTGGTATTTTTCAGCCACATTAATTGATATAGACCAGAAAAATACATCATGTGCAGTAACATTCATGTTGCTTAATTTATCGAATGTATAATTATTGTCATGCATGTTCACTAAATCTCTTGTGAACACCATATCAATATCATCAACTGGACGAATGCAATATTCATTCTTTATTGGTGTTACTGAAGACATTGAATAAAAGTGTAAACAATCATATTGCAAATGACTGCTTAAATAAAACTCCATGTCACATCCCGTTTCCATCCATAAGAGAGATAGTAGCCAAACAAGAAACAACATTCTAGTGTTGTGAAATTGTTCGTATTGTCTTGACTTAAGACTGTTATATTAGTATGATGCCATAGAGCACTGTGGAATGGTATTTATCTCACGTTCGATCAACATTAATTTTATGTTCAAGATCTCAATCAATCTCATTTTGATAAACTAATTATTTGTGAGAATAGAAATGACAAATAACCATCTATCATTCTGTGTCACAGTGCTTGCTTATATGTACATATGTTCTATCATCATTTTAACATGTCTAAAAGACATGATAAACTAGTCGATGAGGAGCTCTGGGATATAAAATGAATCTTCGAGATTTGAATATGAACTGCAATGTGCTTGATAGTTGATTGTACGTTCTTTTATTGGCATGAACGCCCATCCTATGACCGTTTGAATAGAAACAATTGAGAACTTGTCCTATAGGTTTGATTTCGGAACACGATTGTAGAATAAAGATGATTTTGATCAACTTCAAAAATTGAAGCTGCTTGAATAGCTCGAAAATACAATTATTTATTTAATAATCGTAAGTCAGTTAGAGAATATGAAAATGCACACTGTCTTTCGCGAAGTGTGAACTCTCTAATGTCGATTTAAATCGAGATCTCATTTTTGAGTCTCGATGGCAGTTTAAAATAAAATATTTTTTCATTTTAATGTCAGCTTCTGAAAAACGCCTGTGTGTATTAGATGTAACTGACAGTTGTCTATCTATACCGATACGCATAACTTCCATGTCCATCTGAACAGTCGGACAGAGAGAGAGGGAACGAGACAACCAATGGGTGGGCTCTTAAAATATGAAGAGGAAAAAGTCGAAAGTGGTGGATGAGGCAAGCGAAAGTCACATATTGTTCAGATAGATAAGAAGACGCAAGATGAAAGAATATCTGTGATGGTTTTAGGAGATATTTGACTCCTTTTTGACAACCCGTGGAGTGTCAAACTTTCATCGATAGTGCTCTATGATGTAAAAAAAAAAGAAGTCGCGAGAACCTACTTGAGCGAAAGAAAATAATGTATTAGAGGGTGTCATCCGGCATTGACGAACTATATGTCTTCCATTTATCTTTAGATAAGTGACAGTTACATGTGTATTTTAGATTATTGGCCTACTATTACAAGGTCATACAGAGTTGAAATAAGACTTTTAAAATGCATGGAAGCGAAGAAGGATTGCATCAGATGCAGGTTAAGATTTAGTTAATGTTCGTTTTCAGTCTCGCTGTTTCTAATATGATTAGTCGATTTGTTTCGAACTTGTAGAATGTTTTGGTACAGAATGTTTCCAACCAACATTATACACCTTCGCTTGCATTGTTAAAAGGATTTTTTCCGTTAACTTTATTAAGAGTGTATGCATGTTGATTGATTTTTTTCTCTGGCTGGTAAAAAAGCATTGCACAATTTAGCGACATTTTTTTACTTTTCGTTTCTTCTGGATGAGCGACAACTATTAACCATTTCTCCAGTTTATGTGTTTATGGACAAAAGACTTGACGTATGGTTTCGCGAAGATATATTATTGAAGAACATACACATTGAAAAATAATATATCAGAATGAAATCTAGTTTTGCTTCCCATTGAGCATGTTGAATAAGATTTGATCACATGAAATTCTGCCGATCTGCTCATCTATTGAATGAATCAAGGATCGGTGTGAAGCTAGCACCATCGAGCTAGCACCATCAAACTAAGCATTTTCTGAAAACGAATTCCGGTCGATAAAACCGAGTGTATTCGATGCAGAATTTAATTCTGAGTCCAATGGTGACATTTTTATTCACCGGAAAACGTTCGGAGAAAAATTTT